ACGATGCTTCTTTATTTTGACATTCTTGTTTTGCATGTTTTTAATTCTTTCTTCGATAATTTTTATGCCACGCATCACACTTTCCGCCAGCCCTCTCTGCTAAGAGGGCAGAAGATTATCGTGTTCCATGTGGCCCTCTCTTCCGACTTGTCACCTGTCCTCACTACACACTTGAATTGGCCATCTATACCCTCATTCTTATTTTTTTGGTCGCGACGGCTGCTGATCCCACTCACTTCTTAAGGACGCCCTTTTTGGACGTCGTCTGTTTTGTTTGGGCTAACCAGCTCGTTTCGGCCGGCCTGACACATGCCTGGTATTCTGAAATTTGGCCAGATTGGGCTGCTCGACGTTTCGCCATTATTCCCCGAATTTTGTGACAAATAAACATATACTCAGGATGTGAAAAATGTACCTATCTATTTGTGGATTTATGTACACATGATTAAAATTGCTCTTCCAATCGATATCGTTGTGGTTTAGCTTGCAGCAACTCGTTTTGTATTTTTTCGTTGTCTGAACACGTATTTTTTTGCTTGAAGTTTTAATATTTATAAGACCTCCGTTTAATTACACTTGTTCTGATATATTTTTAAGCTGATTTTATCTCATCATCAATTTAAGCTGAATTAGCCGATTGATTGGGACATGCTATGGAAAATCCTTGTGAATAGAGACATAATGTGAGGAGTCGTTGAATTTAAGTATGAGCAAAATATTTTTCTCATTTGAAATTATTTGAGGCAAAGCAATTGTTCACTTTTTGATCCTTTCTCTGGCTTTTTTATTCAGTATGATTATGAATATTTTCTTCTTACGCCTTTCATCGAATTCATCTAAAATTATGCATACATGTTAGCAATCTTCAAATTGTCTCATTCGTTACATGATTCTTTTCAATTCTCTTCTAATCAACTTATACACTGTATAACAAGCGTGAAAATAGGGAATTAATTTTGCATTCGCCACTTCACACTAACTAGTTCTTTCAATCATATAAATTTTGTCTTTCTATAATATGGTTCATAGATGTCTACAATTAGGCTTTATGATCCTTTTTTATTGTACCTCCTCAAATGTAAGATTAATTAAGGAAATATCTGTCAAGAACGCTTTCGTGAGTATTTGAAAGTGTGAAACGGCGTTTTTGTTTATTATTTTAAGAATTAACATTGGAAATGAATGATCTTCTCTAAAGCTATATTGCATTTTTAGCAAACATTCTGACCTAGAAAAGCATTTGCCTTTCATAATCTTTACAATCAAACCTTCGTAGTCTCCATTCGCTCTAATGATATTTTTCTGTAGATTTTTTGTTTAGCTTCTAGCTAATCTAAAATGAGGCTCCAATGAATTGGGATTTTGGCTGTATAGTTTATTCGCGTTTGCACTGTTGATTCATCGCCTTTGTTTAGATCCATCCTCTCAAAAATTCTTTAATTATAACAAAGCCAGAATTTGATTGCTATCTTAGAGCTTGCATTGTGCTACTTCTGCCATGACTGTATTTAGATAATAATGTTTGATTTGTCTATACAGCCTGTATTATAAAACCTTCTGCCAGGTCTTGCTCCTATCCAATTGCGGTTCCTTGCTTTTATCTGCTCGGAAAATACATCTCGCATTTGT